CCCCCCCCCCCCCGCCACCCCCCCGTCTCTCTGCCCCTTCCCCCTTGCACTCTGTCTCTCACTCAAAAATAAATAAATCTTGGGGCGCCTGGGTGGCTCAGTCGGTTAAGCGTCCGACTTCAGCCAGGTCACGATCTCGTGGTCCGTGAGTTCGAGCCCCGCGTCAGGCCGTCAGGCTCTGGGCTGATGGCTCAGAGCCTGGAGCCTGTTTCCGATTCTGTGTCTCCCTCTCTCTCTGCCCCTCCCCTGTTCATGCTCTGTCTCGCTCTGTCTCAAAAATAAATAAACGTTAAAAAAATTTTTTAAAAAATAAATAAATCTTAAAAAAAAATAAATAAACAACCGAAATTTATTTCCTCACAGCTCTCTGGAGGCTAGAGGCCCAACGTTCCCATTCCCAGAGAGACAAATAGGAAAGAAGGAAGGAGTGATGGGTTCCAAGCAAGTCCAAAGCTTAGCAAGTCACATTCCTTGGATCTTAAGGCTCAAGAACAATATTCTTTGGTTCAGTGCTCCGCCCTGCAGTCCCACTGGGGTGGCATCATTACTCCCGCGGCGCTGCGGAACCTTCCTATCCCTGCAACCCAGCAGGGATCTCTGCTAGGCTCTCTGCCAGGACCTCACTCTCTGGAAGGAGGAAGCAGCCACGTCCCTGGTCCCTGTGGTGGGAACAGCAGCTCCGATGATCTTGGAATCACCTTCGGTTTTATTCTTCCCTTATCTTGAAGAATAACGTAAGTTTGCAGCCCTCCTTTGCTCCGTCCTATTTTCTCTGTTTTCTTTAGTCACACCTGGCAGAGTTTCTTTTAGAACAATGTCATCTCCATTCCTAGCTTCTGCTGAAATGGATAATTAGACTCATGGTTCCCGTTCATGCTAATCTTATCAAATGGTTGTTCAGCCACATCCTTAGTATTTTCTTTTTTTTAAGAACATGATTTCTCATTTTTTCCAACGTGAATAGGCTGAGAATCTTCCAAATCTTCAAGTTCTGTTTCCTTTTTGCTTAACAGTTGCGTTTTTCAGAATTTAGCTAAACTACTCTGTAATACTGCTCGTTGGCATCCATTCTGTGTGGCCAAACCACATGCAGGGGCTTTAACCGACCCTAGTCCCTCCCTGAGCACAGGTCCTAGGTATCAGCCTGCAGAGTCACACAGCAGTGTAGGCTCCTGATAGGACTCTCCCAGTGACCTTGTGTTCATCACTCTCCTCACACCCTAGGGCCTTCCCCTTATTCACATCTTAGATAAGATCCCCCCCATCCAAGCTTACCAAAACCTACATGTTTTTGGTATGAATTGATCAATCTGGTCTTAGCCCAGGAACTTTAAAGCACTCTACCCGAGGACCCTAATAAAGGCATGTGTCTCAGGTACTGCTGTGGTCTCTACTACCTGTACCCTGCCTTGACCTACCCATGTGGCCCCTCAAGGTGTTCTGTGTACCTCCTTCAGGACCTGTGAGCAATAAACTTACCTATTTTGCTATCCCTTTCAGTATTTACTTGAATTGTGGCTCACCTTCTGACACCCAAGGGCTCTGCTTAACAAATGTTGATTAGGGGTGCCTGGGTGGCTCGGTCGGTTAAGTGTCTGGCTTCAGCTTAGGTCATGATCTCACAGTACATGGGTTCGAGCCCTGCATCGGGCTCTGTGCTGATAGCTCAGAGCCCGGAGTCTGCTTCGGATTCCGTGTCTCCCTTTCTCTCTTCCCCTCCCTCACTCACGCTCTGTCTCTGTCTCTGTCTCTCTCTCTCAAAAATAAATAAACATTAAAAAACCCCAAGTGCTAATTAAAGAAAGTCGCAACATCCTTCTTCAATTCATCTCTCTCCTTTTGGATCTCACTATTAGCAGTCAGGAGGCACAAAGCTGCTTCTTCAACATTTCGCTTAGAAATCTCCTCATCTAACTGTCCAATTTCACCACTCACCAATGTCACCCTCCATGAAACACTGGAGCACATTTCGGCCAAGTTCTTTGCCATTTGATAATGAAGACTTCCTTTCCTCCAGTTTCCAATAACGTGTTCCTCATTTCTGTCTGAGACCTCTCCAGAAATGTTCTCAATGCCCACATGTCCAGCACGCACCTCAAAACTCTTCCATCCACTACCCATTTCCCAATTCTAAAGCTGCTTGCATATATGTAGGTATTTGTTACAATAGCACCTTACTCTTGGTACCAAAGTCTTTATTGGTCTGCTTGGGCTGCCATAATAAACTACCATAGACTGGGGGCTTAAACAACAGAGATGAATTTTCTCATAGTTCAGATCAAGTTTCCAGTGCAGTTGGGTCCTGGTGAAAGCTCTCTTCCTGACTTGTAGCTGGCCACTTTCCCTCTGTGTCCTCCCAAGGTGAGGAGAGAGAGAGAGGGAGAAAAAGAGAGCAAGCTCTCTGGTGTATCTTCCTGTAAGGGCACCAATCCCATCATGATGGCTCTGTCCTCACGACCTCACCCATAGTGTCTCTCTAGAGGGGTGATCAAGGAAGACTTAGCATTTGTACTGAGACCTAATGGATGAAAAAGAACCAGGATTTTCTTCTGATCTGTTTGCTCTTGTATTCCCAACGCCTAGAACAGTGCTTGGCAGAGATCTGAATGTATTATGAACAAGCATAAGAATGAATAAACGAATGAAGCCAGCAACCTAAGTGGAGCTGGGGAAAGAGTATTCCAGGCGGACGGATCAGCCCAATGCAAAGATCGCACGGTAGGCAAGGTCTTGGCATGCTTGTGGATCAGAAAGGTCAGTGTGGCTGGAGAACATGGAACTGGGGAATCGTGGAACGAGATTAGCATGGAGAGGGAGGCAGTATTATTGGATGTTGCTTGGTGATCTGTGCTTAAATATGCTGTGACATTAAGGGATGGAATCTGGAACAAGAATATCTGGATTCAAATCCCTGCTCCATCACTTACTACCTGTCGGACCTCGGGCAAGTTAGTGAACCTCCCTGAGCCTCAACTTCCTTGTGTATAATATGGGAAAGATGACAATACAAAATGTATTAAATATAAATATTGATATTATTTTATATTTAAATAGAAATACTGTATTAATATAATACAAATATAATTATTATATTAAATATAAAGAATAATAAATAATAACAACATAATCAGCTTGTTTTAAAGATTAAATAAGTTCATTCCGAAATGAGCTTAGGGGCTCCTGGGTGGCTCAGTCAGTTAAGCATCCGACTTTGGCTCAGATCGTGATCTTACAGTTCGTGAGTTCAAGCCCTGGCTTGTGCTGACAGCTCGGAGCCTGGAGCCTGCTTCAGATGCTGTGTTTCCCTCTCTCTCCCTCTCTGCTTCTTCCTCACTCATGCTCTGTCTCTCAAAAATAAATCCACGTTAAAAAAAATAAAAAAACATAAAAAAAATGAGCTTAAAAAGTC